GGAATGAGGCAGGCGTCCAGAGAGGAAGCTTATCTGACTTAATTTATTTTTACAGTGAGCTTTTTGTTAGCATCCTGATTTAAATTTGTTATGAAAGAATAATGTACAAGTGACGCCTGGGTGGCTCAGTAGGTTAAGCGTCTGCCTCCAGTTGGGGTCACGATCCTGGGATCCTGGGATCGAGTCCCTGCATTGGACTCCTTGCTCAGAGGGGAGCCTGCTTCTCCCTCTGCCTGCCAGTCCCCCTGCTTGTGCTCTCTCTCTCTCAAATAAAACCACTAAAAAAAAAAAAGAATTTAAATCTTTTTTAAAAAATATGATTTTATTTATTTGAGGAGGGAGCGAACGAGCACGGGGGAAGGGGGCAGAGGGAGAGGGAGAAGCAGACTCTGCACTGAGCAGGGAGCCCCACTCGGGGCTAGATCCCAGGAACCAAAGGTAGGCGCTTAACCTACAGAGCCACCCAGGCACCCCAACAGGTGTTTTTATTAAAGTACAGTGGGCGACAGGGCCCAAAGGCAGAAAGAGCTGTATTGGGATTGTGTTCTAAATTCTCTTTGGGGCACCTGGGCGGCTCGGTCATTAGGCATCTGCCCTCGGCTCAGGTCATGATCCCAGGCTCCTGGGATCGAGTCCCGCGTCAGGCTCCGCGGAGCCTACTTCTCCCTCTGCCTGCTGCTCTGCCTGCTTGTGCTCGCTCTGTCAGATGAATAAATAAAATCTTAAAAAAAAAAAAATTCTCTCTTTTAAAAGATTTTATTTATTTATTTGACAGAGAGAGCACAAGCAGAATGAGAATCAGGCTCCCCCCTGAGTAAGGAGCCGGATGTGGGACTGGGTCCCAGAACCCCAGAATCACGACCCTAGCCCAAGGCAGACGCCCAACCGACTGAGCCACCCAGGCACCCCTGGGATTGTGTTCTAAAAAAAGATGCACGACAGCGGTACTTTCGGTTTGGAAAGGGAAAAACACTTTATTGACGTAAAAATCTGATAGAAACAGAAAGGGAAATTGGCACGTAGATAAGGGTAATATCAGTAAATGAGAATAGGACAAAGTTACATCAAATCGGGTACTTACAACATCCAACCTCATTAGCTGGGGAAGCCCCAGGGGAAACAGCTGGGCAGGAGTCCCAACCGAGAGACCTGGGCAGAGTGACCATCCCCATAAAGGCCCTACTTAGAGGACAAATGACGGGGTTTGAAGTTAAACATTTGTTCCCCTACATGGAGTTTGGAGCGAACTGCATTTCTATGTTATCATGTTTTTACATTTTCAAGGAGACGGGGCTATGGGAACCTGCCTCCCCTCCCGGGTTCCATTCCCAGGGGCCAGACCAGCTTGGAGCAGGAGGGGATATGAAGCAAGATTTATAGCTCTCTGTGTCCAGAACAGAAGGGCCAGTTCTGACCTGGAGGCCAGCTAATATATTTCAAATAATCAGGCTCCCGAGGTCATTCATGCAGCACGAGTCTCACAAACAGCATTCCTTAGCCTGCCTGTGCCCCTGCAGTTCTGGGTGGTCAGTTATGCAGGATATATCACAGTAACCTCCATCCATATAGCACAGATTTTGAGGAGCAATTGATTACTTTTGAATTGGGGGGTGAATAGAAATAGAGGAAGTTTCCAAAAGTATTTTTTGTACTTAGATTTTATTTTTAAGCAATCTCTACACCAACAGTGAGGCTCGAACTCACAACCCCAAGATCAAGAGTCGTGTAATCTCGGACTGAGCGGGCCAGGTGTCCCCAGAAGGATTTTCATATCAAAGAGGATTAACAGGACGCTGGAGGCCTGGCTATTGTCCAGCTAAGGTTGCAAAGCATTAACATTAAGGCAGTTGTGAATTCTCTGAGGAAAGTCACACTCTGTGTGTCTCAGGTATCTATCAAAGGGCTGCAAGTTGTAAGGAAATTCAATTTTATCTACATTTCTTTTGCCTTGGTTCTCTCCAAAAACCACTCTGACTTTCCTTTTTCTTAAAAGCTACAGGTGGGAGAGTCTGCGTCGTGTGACTGGAGGTCTCAGGTCTTGGACTCCCCACGGAAGATTTACCGCAAGATTTACATGAGGATCACGCTGGAATAAAGACAGCCAGAAGGAAAGGAGCAAGCACAAAGCAGTTTATTAAGGACAGTACACTCTCAAGATGGACAGTGGGCGGGCCCAAGGGTGGCAACGCACTGGGGCTAAGGGTTTGTCTGGTTTGGTCATAGCTAGGGCGGTGTCCCCCTGAAGTTGTTGACAATCATCTGAAGGACTCCTCTTACCGGTCGGAAGGGGGAGTTTTTGGCCCTAAAACGTTCTTGCCCTAACAGTCATGGCCATTTTCTCCCATGGGGTGTGTGTGTGTGAACTGCAATGTAAATATAAAGAAGCTCTAGGTTACCCTGGGGCAGAGGTTGAAGAAGAGACTGCATTCTGCACCTGTGGCTCTCCGTCTGTCAGTCCCCAGGTGTCGGAAGCCACAATGTCAGGATGTTGTGTTCTCAGGCTTCTTCCTTTTTTTTTTTTTTTTTTTTTTAAGATTTTATTTATTTGACAGAGAGACATAGCGAGAGGAGGAACACAAGCAGGGGGAGTGGGAGAGGGAGAGGGAGAAGCAGGCTCCCTGCTGAGCAGGGGCTCGACAAGGGGCTCCATCCCAGGACCCTGGGATCATGACCTGAGCTGAAGGCAGATGCTTAAGGACTGAGCCACCCAGGCACCCTGCCCTCAGGCTTCTAATGTGTCATTATTTATCACCGTCCTTGCCTCCAGTTCTTGTGTAACTACCTCCATCAAAAGCAGGAGATGGGGGCACGGGGGTGGCTCAGTCGGTTAAGCGTCTGCCCTTGGGCTCAGGTCATGATCTCAGGGTCCTGGGATTGAGCCCTGCATTGGGTTCCCTGCTCAGCGGGGAGTCTTACTTCTCCCTCCAGCTCACGTTCACTTTATCTCAAAAAAAAAAAAAAAAAAAAGGAGGTGAAATTCCATGCAGAAGATATCCTCCCGGGGCGCCTGGGTGGCTCAGTCGTTAAGCGTCTGCCTTCAGCTCAGGTCATGGTCCCAGGGTCCTGGGATCGAGCCCCGCATCGGGCTCCCTGCTCGGCAGGGAGTCTGCTTCTCCCTCTCCCACTCCCCCTGCTTGTGTTCCCTCTCTCGCTGTGTCTCACTCTGTCAAATAAATAAATAAAATCTTTAAAAAAAAAAAAAAAAAAAAAGAAGATATCCTCCCTGGAGCAGAAGGGAAATAACATTCTTATGGAGAAGTTCAGACCAAGAGAATTCTGTATTAGACCTTGTTAAAATAGTTATCTTCCTTAAGCCTCCCCACATAGTTTACTTTCCCACAATTGTTTCACTGTGTTCAACCTAGTATAAAAGCATGTAGATTTTGCCATTTCTTTGGGTCTGAAGGCTTCCATGTCACATGAAACTTGTATTAAATACATTTGTATGCTTTTCTCCTGTTGACCTTATGTCATTTACTTTTCTCCTGAAAAAACTCTAAGAGGGTAGAGGTAAAATTCTGCCTCTCCTACATGGTGTTAAAAAAAAAAAACACAAACCCCCAGAAACGTGAGGGTGGGGGAATGCCGATAGAGCATTTGACTGGATCTTGGGTTCGCCCATGTTGGGTGTAGAGATTACTCAAAAATAAAATCTTAAAACACACACACCCACACCCACACCCACTCACAGGCCCCATTTAGACCGATTTCCCAAACCGGGGGCTTAATACATATTCTAATGGCAATGTCAATCTCCTCCAGAAACGTAGCCTTAAATTGGTCAGTTAGTAATCTAGTATAATCTTTCAATCATTATCAATGACTTGGCCACCTGGGTCCTCTCTACCCTCCAAAGAAAGATGAGGTAATCTGCATAAGACAACTTGCTTTTCCCCCTAGAAAGCGGCCTCGTCTGGAACAAGACTTTTCTTTTGCTAAGAACTTTTCTTGCCCCTACTGTCCTTGTATAAAAACCCTCCATTTTGTACAACCCCTTGGAACACCTGTCTACTTCCTCAGATGGGATGTTGCCCATTCATGAATCGTTGAATAAAGCCAATTAGATCTCCAAATTTCCTTGGTGGAATTTTCTTAGGTAACAGTGGTTTGGGTTCCCTTTTAGCACTTTGCTGAATAGCTGGTCTGAGCTGCTTCCCACACAGGGGTGGGCGCGCGATCTTTTGCGGAAGTGACAAGTTTGTTTGCCACCCGCAAGGGACACAAAGCACCGTGTCACGCCGGTCATTTGCAGAAAGCTGTATTGCAAAGCGGCCTAGCAAGGAGGCAGGAGGCTGGCTCAAAAACTCTGTTTCCCTCACCTGAGCTTAGAACATGATTTTAAAGGTTGGGATCACAGACATATTGATGAAAAGGGCGGGGAAATTTATGACTATTAATGAGGAAGGATAGAGCATGCGCACTGAGCAAACCTACATCTGTTCACTTCGGAGTGGAGATTTAACATTGAAATTAGGCAAAATGAGGCCCCTGATGTTAGGTTGTCACCTTTGGACAAGGGAGGGGGCTATGTACATGCTTTGAGAGCCCGTATAAACTAGAGGAATGCAGGGTTTCAGGGAGAAAAAGGTCATCCTCTACCCTCAAGGTCTTCCGGCTGGGGTAAGAATTCAATTTACATGAGATAGGTTAACAGGAGAAAAAAAACCAAACAAGTTTTATTGTAAGTTCATGGAGGTCCATTAATGAAACCAAGACCCAAGGAAATGACCAAGGCAGGAAAGTTTTATACATTTTAGACAAAGAGACAATACATTTGTGAAACAGGATAAAGAAAACAGGTGTTTGGGAGCTTTAACTAGTCAGGAATTCTAAGCAGAATTTAGGGTGACAGCAGATCAGTAACAAAGTAACAAGGTTTGTCCCTACCTCTGGTGATAAAGATGTCTTTTCTTTGTAAAGGGAGGGCACCTTTCACATGGAAGATTTATTTCCTGCTTTCAGGGGAACAGAGGAGGCTCTGAGAGTCCTTATTGCATAGATTGTCTCTTAAGTAACGTTTATTTAAAAGAACCAATAAGACAAAATGGCACAATTGGGAGCAGCCTGCCCTTGGCCCCTACAGTACCCCCTCTGAAACTTCCCTGGGAGTTTTGTATATTAAAAGCTGAATTGGCAGATTGTTCCGTCTTATTGAATCGGTCTCAGTTCTGACAATAGGTCCGTTTCATTAACTTCACTTCAGGAGGTGGTGAAGCAGGTATGTGGTTGAAGTTAGGCCTATTTGTTTAAACAATCAGGGCATCAAGAAGAGGCCCATCAATGGAATAAAAGAAAAATGGTGGTTAATAACTGGATCAAATCATAATCCAGTTTTTGAGTTTTTAGGCCAGGCACTCAAGATTTCCAGATGTCCGGCTCGAAGCATTTTCAGAGTGACAGCAGGTCGTGACGATCTGACGGAGACTCTCCTGGTTTGTAGGTGGAGTGTCTCTGGTGATCTTCTAAGGGCTCACAAAGCAATAGGCATGAGGATTGTCTGTGCATGAGCCGTTGTGGTTATTTCCCTGAAGTTTACATCAGGTTGGTCATGTTTAATTTGCAGGGCTTCTGGAAAAAGGGCAGTTTTACTTCTTAAATGAATCCAACTCAGAAGGTGGAAGAAAAACTTAAAAAATGTTAGTTTGGAGACTAACATTTGTGTAGCCAGTCATTGGAGGAAATCAGGATCTAATTCAGTATATAATGAGCGGTATCAGAATTTAATATTTACATAGGTGTTTTACTGAAACATATTTTCTCTCTATCACCCTCCTTTTTGCCAAAGATAAAACAAGACTAATTTGCTTGCAAAATAAGTCTAGTTTAAAAAGACCAACAACTTGGCTTGATTATTGACATAAATGCAGCAAGAATAGTAGTTGACCATACAGGATCTTTTAAATCTGCTTTACTGGAATTTTTCATAAGGAATCTCTAGATTGAACTTTTAATAGCCTCTCAAGGCCAGGAGCCAAGCCAAATACTTGTCATCATACTTCGCCTGCAGTACCTATAGATTTGGGTTAATTCCTCTCTCTCGAGGTCCCCAGCATATTCTGAGGTTCCTGCATCTGCCAGGAAGTGACCTTCTTTACTCCCTGGTGAGGCTGCTGGGAACTCTGTAAGAAGGTACCAGGCTGGTATTTCCAAGGGGCTTTATTGGCTCTGTAAAGTCAACCTTAGTTCCTTAAAGCTGTCTGGTCATATCTGAGACTATGCATGTCTCTCTCAAACATGACATTCCAGCAAAGCCTTGGGAAAAAACCCCCAGTGTTTCTTTCCAATGATGTCTTGTTATAAGGAGAACACATTCTTACTGCACTTATGCAAATAACTATAATTACCATACAACAAAGAATATTCACTGAGAATTTCTGAATTCTGGAGGGTTTCAGGTAGGGAGAAAAAGACAACTGTTTCACATTTGGTTACAAAGGAATATTTTATCAAATTGCTGTAAGCCACAGCTTAAGAGAAAACAGTTTTAAATCAGGAAAAACAAAACTTAAAAAAAAAATCAGCAATGTTTTCAACAAAAATGTGATAAAATTATAATTATCTTCCTCAGTTTATTCAGTCTTATATTATTAATTCTTCTGCTTGAATCCAGTTTTCTGACTAGTCCCGGAAATTCTTACTTCAGTTTAATGATCTTAAGGTTATAAGAAACCTGTACTCAGAGTTCTTCCCATGAGTTTCAACGGAAGCACATTTGCAGAAAGCTTTTTAAAAAGCATCTGAGTAAAACTATAATTGTCTGTAAATGATAAAACTTAAAGGCCATGGTCAAAGATCTGATTAGAGTCCATTACAATGCAATTGATAAGAAAATCTGCTTATTTCTGTGACATACAACAGTTCAAGATAATAACATGTTAGGACATATCAGATCCCCAGGAGTTTTGTGTTTTTTTTTTTTTTAAGATTTTATTTATTTATTTGACAGAGAGAGAGACAGCGAGAGAGGGAACACAAGCAGGGGGAGTGGGAGAGGGAGAAGCAGGCTTCCCGCGAAGCAGGGAGCCTGATGCGGGGCTTGATCCCAGGACCCTGGGATCATGCCCTGAACCAAAGGCAGACGCCCAATGACTGAGCCACCCAGGCGCCCCTTCCCAGGAGTTTTATACAATTTTTAGAACACTTCTTTTAATAACATATCTATGCAAACATAATCTAAGAAGGTTTAGTTTCACTTATTTGACAATACTTCCCATGAAACTTAACAAGTAAGCCACATTAGTTTCATTTTTACAAAAAAAATTTTTTTTAAGATTTTATTTTTAAGTAATCTCTACACCCAATGTGGGGCTCGAATTTACAACTCCTAGATAAAGAGTTGCAGGCTTTACCGACTGAGCCAGGCAGGCGCCCCTTCACAAAATTCTTGAAATGTTCCCAGGGCCTTCTGGAACATTTCATTTATACTGTGGTCAAAAGACTTTATTTTAGAGTTTGACTTTGGGAAGTATGTCAAAAAATATCAATAGGTTTGAACATTTCATTAATCAAAATCAATATATCAAAAGGTTGAAACATGTCATTAGATTAGAGATCATTAGGAGACAATATTTATCTATTTAACCAAAGTGATAATAAAAGATTTCAAAGGAAATTACAGATGATACATAGTTGTGAGCAAAACTTAGCTCTTAATACTAAGACTCAGTTTTTTTGAATAATCAAAAATCTGATAAAGAGAAAACATAGAATCTTTGTTTATAAAAAGGTATTTATACAGGTGTTTATAAAGGTAATCTTTAATGTAATCTTCAACAGAAAACTGTTTACAAAAAGCAAACCAATAATCTAATAAAACGTTTCCCTTTTAACAGAGAGAAAAAACAAATTTTAATTTTGCATCAGCAATACATTTGATATTAAAATACACTTATTTTAACCTTAGCCACTATTGACCACACATAAAATTCCCTTCCAAAGGTGTTTTGTTTTTTTTTAAATAAGCCTTTTACAACTTTTTTTTTCACATTCAGATTTTGTCCTGTTTTCCCTCTTTAAATAATTAGCCTTACTTTAGGAAAAAAAAACTTTCTCTCAACAAAAATATTTTTTCATTTCTTAGATTTTTTTTTTATATTTTCTTTTTTTTTTTTTAAAGATTTTATTTATTTATTTGAGACAGAGAGAATGAGAGACAGAGAGCATGAGAGGGAAGAGGGTCAGAGGGAGAAGCAGACTCCCTGCCGAGCAGGGAGCCCGATGCGGGACTCGATCCCGGGACTCCAGGATCATGACCTGAGCCGAAGGCAGTCGCTTAACCAACTGAGCCACCCAGGCGCCCTTCTTAGATTTTTTTTTAACCAAAAACACGTATCTTACTTTCCTTGCATACAGTTATTTCCCTTATTTTTCCAGTAGTTTTAGTGATATTAGAATTCTTAACTCATGGAAACCTTGATTTCTAGTGAAACTTAATTAGTACTCAATTGTGAACTGTTACATTAGAATTCTTTTTTTCTTTTTTTTAAAGATTTTATTTATTTGACAGAGAGAGACACAGTAAGAGAGGGAACACAAGCAGGGGGAGTGGGAGAGGGAGAAGCACGCTTCCCGCTGAGCAGGGAGCCCTATGCGGGGCTCGATCCCAGGACCCCGGGATCATGACCTGAGCTGAAGGCAGACGCTTAACAACTGAGCTACCCAGGCGCCCCTACATTAGAATTCTTTAGGCTGACAAATTTATGAATACATTTCATTATTCAGAAGCATGTGTTTGTTTGTTTGTTTGTTTTGCATAGTATAAGCTTCTAATAAAGCACAAACAGGTTTTGTTAACACTCAAATTTATCTTTAGTTTCTCTGTGTAGTTAAGACAAAAGTAGATAAACCTATCTTTTAGTGTTTAATGTTTATAATTTTATCTTATTTGGAGATGAGCCCAGATATTAAATGAATTTAACTTAACTCAGCATTTAACAGTACAACTTTGAAGTTTCAAGGTTACCAAAGATTCTGGAAGCTATTTAAAAGTTTACCTACAGGGGCGCCTGGGTAGCTCAGCCGGTTAAGCGGCTGCCTTGGGCTCAGGTCATGATCCTGGCATTGGGCTCCCTGCTCAGAAGGCAGTCTGCTTCTCTCTCTAACCCTGCCCCTCCACCCGGCTCGTGCTCTCACTCACTCTCTCTCTTAAATAAATAAAATCTTTAAAAAAAAAAAAGTTTCCCTATAACCCGCCCCCCCAGCCTTTTTTAAAGTAGGCCCCACACCCAACATGGTGCTTGAACTCACAATTCTGAGATCGAGGGTTGCGTGCTCTACTGACTGAGCCAGCCAGGCACCGCCCCCAACCCCTTTACATCTATTTAATTTACTTGTTCTTAACATTTATGCTTAAATTACCCATAAAAACTTCAAGAGACATCGGACAAAGTCAGTCATACTTTCAAACTACTATTATTATTACTTTTGAAGATTTTATTTCTTTAAGTAATCTCCACACCCAATGTGGGTCTTGAACTCACAACCCTGAGATCAAGAGTTGCAAGCTGCACTGACTAAGCCAGTCAGGCACCCCTCAAACTATTATGATTATTTCAATTTGTAACAGAGATCACATCAACTTATTTGACTTTTAGTAAATCCAGGCAGAATAAAAGTTTTAGTTTTAATGTTGATAACATTAAGCCATTTCCTTTTAAATTAAACCAACAACCTTAAATTAGCTTTAGTACCAAATATTTTCCCAGATCACCTGAATTTGAAAAATATTTGGGGTAGTCTCTCACTTTCTGAGAATTTTAGAATGCCCAATCCTTACACAAGCATTTGCCTTCAAACCAAGTAAATAAAACCCTTTTACAAATTAATTTTAGCAATACGATCCAGAGGTAGAGAAAAGAGATCAGATATATCTATATATCTAGATCTAGATCTACGTATCTGGGTACGACTCTCTCTCTCTCTCTCTCTATGTATATAGAGAGAGACATATCCAGACAGATGCAAACAAAAATTGTTACCATTAGCAAATCTGTGCACCCCATGTGCAATAAACCGATGTCTGAGACACTGGTTTTGTTTTTTAAAGATTTTATTTATTTATTTGACAGAGAGAGAGATAGCGAGAGCAGGAACACAAGCAGGGGGAGGGGGAGAGGGAGAAGCAGGCTTCCCGCCGAGCAGGGAGCCCGATGCGGGGCTCGATCCGAGGACCCTGGGATCATGACCTGAGCTGAAGGCAGACGCTTAACAACTGAGCCACCCAGGTGCCCCAAATCAGGGAGATTTTTAACAAAAATGGAAATCAAAGGATTTCTGCCTTCTAAAATCTATAAAGCAATTTAACAAAAGCCTTCTTTCTGAGTACACAATTTAACGTTGGCTTCTATCAGCCTCTGAGTATTGACCTTTGGGAGATCATTTGTAGGAGGGCTTAGGAGAAATTTTGGTCCCGTTTCCTCTGTGAAGCAGGGGAGGCATTCTTCCAGGGGCCATGGGGCCTGCCTAATAACCACAGTGTAATCAATCCTGGGCCAGAAAACTCCCTGTGGCAGCCAGTCAAGGTCTTTGTGAGTGCTGTTGTGAATACCATTAATTTTTAATTTATTTTTAAAATTCCTTTATTAAGTTTTTTTAGCTATTAATTAAAAAAAAAAATTCCTCTCTGGGGCGCCTGGCTGGCTCAGTGGGTGGAGAATGCAACTCTTGTCTTGGGGTTGTGAGTGTAAGCCCCACGTTGGGTGTAGAAATGACTTAAAAAAATAATAATATAAAATCTTTAAAAATAAGTAAATAAAAATTCCTTTCTAAGTTTGGTAGGATATTCTGAAAGTGGAGGAACAAGGGCTTCATCACTTAAAAGATCTGTGGCTGTTCAAGGGATAGGAATCCTTCGCAGAGTCTGCGTGTGTGTGTTGGGCGGGGGAGCTGTGTGTAGGATACATCTGTAAGAGTTATTGTACAGAAATGCCTGAAGCTGGCAGAGCCTGATTATAGCAAAGCGAGCCGTTCCGTGCGTCCCAGGGGCTTCTGCTGAATTCACTTTCTGTCTCTCGGCATTTGCAAGAGTAATCTGTATACTTAGAACCTAGAGATTAGGCTGGAGTGCTGTCTGCAAATCTTGTAGGGCAAGGAAAGTTAAAACAGGCGAATGGGGCCAGACTTTAAGAAGGGGAATTTTCAGTGGGTGTGGACATTGATTTGCCTTAAGTCTAATTTTTGTTCTTTTATCTTGTCAGGGGAGTCCCTAGTGATGTGGAGAACAAAGGCAAAAGAAATGTGGAAAAAATTAAATTGCCCTACGACTTCCAGCCCCTTCACAAGTACTTAAGAGAGGCAGAGGGCCTTCCACCAGGAACTCAACTGCCTCCATGTTAATACTTTGCTAAAAGCGAAAGTCAACCTTAGCTTGACATTAGCCCGACCTCCAGGGTCCTGTAAGTCTACTTTAACATATGAAAATGCCTTTGGAAACTTCTCCAAGATACATGCTAGCAACCATCCTCCAAGCATATGGCCCACTGATACATATGTGAAGGGTCTCATGACTAAGGGTTTACTAGACAGTAGTCAAAGCCCTTATCTTTTTTTTTTTTTTTAAGATTGTATTTATTTGCGAGAGAGAGAATGAGGGACAGAGAGCATGAGAGGGAGGAGCAGACTCCCTCCTGAGCAGGGAACCCGATGTGGGACTCGATCCCGGGACTCCAGGATCATGACCTGAGCCGAAGGCAGTCGCTTAACCAACTGAGCCACCCAGGCGCCCTCAAAGCCCTTATCTTAATAGCAGCTAGCCTCTCAAGGTCCTGGAAATCTTGCTTCCAAATTCCTTAGAGACTTACCCCCTCCCAACTTATATAATCAGCCACTCCTCATGACCCCAGTGCAGCTCCGTCTGCCCACGGGTCCTGTCCCCATGCTTTAATAAAGCCACCTTTTTTTGCACTGAAGACCTCTCAAGAATTCTTTCTTGACTGTTGACTCTCAGACCCCGAACATCACATCACATTACCCAAGGTTAGCTGTTATTCTAATTAGACAATTCAGAATTCTCTCTAAAGAATATTTAATTACTTATTTAAATACAGCCAATTTAAAGGATCTATCATCTGGCCATTGGTGGATAGGATCTTATTAATTTCGGTAATGACTCAAACCAATAAGCTTTTTGATGGCTTAACCCAAAACCTAAGCGGCCTCTAGACAAGGCACAGATGATGTAGTCCCCAAGATCCAAAAGTTTATTCCCCCAAAATAATCTAAGAAAGCAAAGACCTTAGTTGCGTAGGTGGTGAGGATGATGTGGTGAACACCGCGTCTCTGGCCTCCCACAAATCTGAGATGCCTCCAGTCACAGACCCGCTAATCTGTGACAGCAGGCAGGCACTAATGGGAATGGGACTTTTCTCGCACTGACCCCTGAGACCACAAATGCCCCTTACGGGCTGCGACTTATGATAAACTCTCCTGAGAGGTGGCACGGCTGGGCAGAGTATGCTTTTTGTAACTGTGTGTCCAGGATCCCCAGCTTATTTGACTGGGCACCAAGGTGCACCCCAGTCAGTGCACCCTCTGGATGATGGAGACCGGAGAGAATGTTCTCATTGGACACAAAGGCAAGCTCTTAGGACATCGAACAAGACAAAAGGAAAAACTTCCATCTGGTTTTTATATAGGGGACTCACAGCAGTTTGTTCAAACAGACGATGGTCTGGTGAGAACCGGGAACTGAGCAGTCTGTGAGGCTGGCTCGAAAAATCAGACTTCTAGGGTCTTATGCCAGCCCTACGGTCATTCCTTTTTATGAACAAAGGACACAAAGGACACAGACCAACAAAGACCATCCCTGGGAGCAAATGGATCAGCAACCAGAGTGTGCTGCCAATTCTTTCCCACAAGCTGCTAAGCCCAAGGAAGCAGTCCCACAATATTTTCTCCTGCTAATCTAAATTTAGAGAGAGTAAAAAAGCTTCTCACCATTCTTGTTCCATTAGACTCCGCAGACAGAGATTCCAGAAGGCTCACACGGTAAAAAATCTTACCTTCTGCCAGCCGTATTGTCAGATGTCCCAGGATCTCAGCGGTAGCAGTGTCTGGGGCGAGCAGTTGCCCAGCAGAAATAAAGTATCCTGCCCACTATGCTAACTACTGGGGAGGGAAAATTCCTCCCCTACCCCCAAGGTCTTCCAGCTGGGCTAAGAATTCAATTTACATGAGACAGGACAGGAGAAAAAAACCCCAAACCTTTGTTACAAAGCCCAATAATGAAATCGAGACAAAGCATGACCCAGGCAGGCAGTTTTTACACATTTTAGACAAAGAGACAATACATTTGTGAGGAATTTACAGGATAAGGAAAAAAGGTGTGGGGCTCCATCCCAGAACCCCGAGGTCATGACCTGAGCTGAAGGCAGTCACTTAACCAACTGAACCACCCAAACCACCCAAACCACCCAGGGCCCCTGGTATTCAGTACTTAGTAGGTAGCACTAATGTCTACCAAGAAATCTGTTAAGTGTCTTGTTCACCAAGAAGGTGACCCGGGGCTCCACGTGGGAAATTTCAGTGAAGGCTGTAGGGCTGTTAGGAGTCTCTGGGCCCCATGGATTCTGGATAGTTCTTGTGGGCGAGATGGGGGGAGGGCAGGAGAGTGGGGGCATCTGGAAGGTTGGCTAATAGTCACCTTCACGATACCTATTCAGAGAGGGGCACTCCTTTTTCCAGTGTCCCTCTCGTTTGCAATAGGCACACTGGTGTGGTCCTACAGTGGGGTGGCCTCTGGATCTAGAATTTGAGGGCTTCGGGTATCTTACCTTGGGACGGGCACCAAGCTGGTTTGGACATTGGTGAGGTTCTGACCACACCTGCCTCAAGGCATCCGCCAGCAAGGCTGCCTCCTGCCACATCCTGCGCTCTTCCTCCTTCCGCCGGACCTCGTCTCGGTTTCGGAAAACATCGACAGCAATCTCAACCAACTGATATGTGGGCATTTCTAAAGCCCCTCTCACTCTTTGCAATTTCTTTTGAATGTCAGGGGCAGCTTGCCTTATGAAGGTGTCATTTACCATTTGTAGATTCTCTGGAGCTTCTGGGTGTATACCAGCATACTGCCGATAAGCCTTAAACATTCTTTCCAAGTAGTCAAAGGGGTCCTCGTCAGGCTTCTGTCTAACATGCAGAATTTTATTTAAGCTTCTTTGTTTGGGGACTCCATTCTTCAGCCCTTTAAGGATGCAGCTCCGGTAATGCTCAAGCTTGTCTCTATCCCCCACATCATTAGGGCTCCACCTAGGGTCGGTTGTGGGTATGGCCAGGTATCCGATAGCTCTCACCGGAGTATACGGTGCTTCCTCGTGCATCTTATCAGCTTCAGCGCGCGCCTGTTCTAAGATCATACTACGTTCCTCTGATGTGAGGAAGAAATTTAGGAGCGTCTGAATATCTGCCCAAGTTGGATCGTAGGTAGCAAAAATAGAGGCAAAAAAATTCTCCATTTTGATAGGGTCATCTAGGTACGGAGGCATGTTGGTCTTCCAATTCAACAGGTCGGAGGTGGAAAACAGGGGACGTACAAAGATGAAACCGTGTGGCTGCCCGTTCCCGTAAACTCTGATCAGCGACTGACCCAAAGGTAATCTCCCTGCCTGAATTTGGGTGGCCCCCTGGTCCAAGGGGGTAACCTGGCAGGTAGGACAGGGAGAGACCACTAGCGGTCCTGCGGCATCAGGAGGGGAAGGGGATGGAGTTGGGGCCCGAGGTGCCGAATGTCTTGGGACAATTGCCCCGGCCCCTCCAAGCGGAGGTGACGGAGTGGCAGTATTTAACCGAATGGGTAATGAATCATCTATCCTAGCTTGAGAATCAGGTGAAATTACCTCCTTCTGGGGACTCTGTTTTTGCGCCCAAATCACTGATTTTCTCTGAATTTCCTTATTCTGGTATAATAACATAAAAGATCGTACATATTGGATCTCCGACCATTTTCCTTCCCTTTTGCAAAATAAATCCAATTGCAAGATAGTATCATAATTTAATGAACCATTCTCAGGCCATCGTTCTCCCGAATCCAGGGAATATTGTGGCCAGGCAGTATTACAGAAAAATATCATCTCTTTCTTCATCATGAACTCATTGGTGAGCACTGCCCAGTTCCGAAGGATGCAGCCCAAGGGGGTACACTTTGGGATTGAATTCTTATTTCCCATTTTGTCTTCGTATTTGCAATACTAATTCTCAGCAGCTCACACAGAGCCACTCTCACAAAGACAAGTTTTCCAAGAAATCCAAATAGCCAAGAGAACCTCTGTGAGAGTAACTCCTGTTTTCCTTTCTACCAAAGGGAAAATTCCTTACCCAAGGCCTCTCGGCTGAGGTCGAACACAAAGAAAATTATCAGCAGTCGACTGACTGCTGTACCGAGATTACTCACCCAAGGGATGGCTTCCGAACCCCAAGCAAGTTTCTCTGCCCCAAAGTAAAACTAGAAAGCACCGAAGGTTGATTCTGCCGTGCGGAGAGAGTTCGGAACCCAGTCCCCCACACGGGGCAAAGCAGCCACCGGCAAAAGTACCCAGTTGGATTTAGAGTCCCCTTGCAGTCGCCATACTTGTTACCGAGCTGAAAAGTTTATTTGCTCGCGTGCCACGGAAAAGCCAAACACCCCAGCACCAGGCTCTTGCAGAGAAGAAGGTCTGTTGCAAAGCGGCCAAGCAAAGAGACAGGAAGCCGGCGCAAAAACCGGTCTCCCCGCCTAACTTCAGAACAGTTTCTATAATCACAGGGGTTGGCACTACATATTGATGAAAAGGGCGGGGAAATTTGTGACTATTCATGAGGAAGGAAGGAGCACGGAGCATGCGCACTGAGCAAACGTAGAGGCCACATACCTCTCACGTTCACTTTGGGTGGAGACTTGACGTTAAAATGAGGCCAAATGATAAAATCTTTTTTAAAAATTTTATTTATTTATTTGACAGAGACACAGCGAGAGAGGGAACACAAGCAGGGGGACTGGTAGAGGGAGAAGAAGGCTTCCCACGGAGCAGGGAGCCCGATGTGGGGCTCGATCCCAGGACCCCCGGATCATGACCTGAGCCGAAGGCAGTCGCTCAACCAACTGAGCCACCCAGGCGCCCCAATAAATAAAATCTTAAATAAATAAATAAATAAATAAAATGAGGCCAAATGAGGCCCCTGACAATGGGTCGTCACCTATAGGACAAGGAGAGGGCTGTGCATATCTTCTGAGAGCCAGTGTTAACTGAATGGGGTCCTAGATTGGATGAGGACTGCAGGGCCTTGCTTGTTCATAGGCTGAACCTTATCTGAAAAGAAATATGGGCTGACCAGAGAGAAGTAGGTCTCTGAAAAACAAACTTTAAGTTTTCTGCTAGTCTCAGGGAAGCCTGGCTGGCTCAGTTGGTACAGCAGATGACCCTTGATCTTGGGCTTGTGAGTTCCAGCCCCACGTTGGATGTGGAGGTTACTAAAAATCAAATAAAACCGAAACTTGCCGTTAATTTCAACCTCATAAACTCCTCGGAGGCACAGCTTCTAATCCACTAATCTTTAAATTTATTTTAAAGTAGGCTCCACACCCAGTTTGGAGCCCAACATGGGGCTTGAATTCACAACCTTGAGATCAAGACCTGAGCTGGTATCCAGTCAGATGCTTAACCAACTGAGCCACCCAGGTGCTCCTAAATCCACTAATTTTCACTCTGCACCATGTTCTGTTTTCTTGCTAATGGGTATTTAGAACATTTAAAATTTTTTGCCATCACAGGACCCTGAACATGTATATATATATTTTTTAAATTTGTAAAAGATTTTATTTATTTATTTGACAGAGACACAGAAAGAGAGGGAACACAAACGGGGGAGAGGGAGAGGGAGAAGCAGGTTTCCCGCTGAGAAGGGAGCCCAATGCAGGGCTTGATCCCAGGACTCTGGGATCATGACCTGAGCTGAAGGCAGATGCTTAACGGCTGAACCACCCAGGCGCCCTGACCCTGAACATATTTTAAACATACCAACCTAATGGGTGTGGTGTGGAGTGATACTAATAATTTATTGTAACTTTAATTTGCATTTTTCTACTTTTAATAAGTTTCGGCTTCTTTTATGTGTGTTTATTTTTATTTATTTATTTATTTATTTATTTGCCCCTCAGTTCTCACAGTCTGTGAACTGCCTATTCATATCTTAACTGACTGAGCCACCCAGGCGCCCCTTCCTATTCATACCTTTGGCCCATTTTTCTATGGAGTTGCGCTTTTTTTCTTGTTGACTGTATAACCTAATGGAAGAAGAGTTCATCTGCCTCACGTGAACCAAAGCCAACAAGTGCCCCACTGAGTGTTTGCAGCAAAGAAATCAAAAAGCTATTTATTGGATTGTTGCCAACCAGAACAGGGAGCTAATGCTCTAAAGACCCAATTCCCTGAGGGCTTACAAGCAGGGCGTTCTCTCTTTTCTTTCCGTTTCCTTTTCTTTTTTTTAATTATGTGTTTTTAAGTAGGCAACATGCCCAACGTGGGGCCGGAACTCACCACCCTGAGATCAAGAGTCGCTTGCTCTACTCCCTGAGCCAGCCAGGTGCAGCCAAGCAGGGTTGTTGTTGTTTTTTAATAGAGATTTTATATATTTATTTTTGTGGGAGACAGAGAGCACAAGCAGGGGCAGGGACAAAGGGAGAAGCAGGCTCCCCGCTGAGCAGGGAGCCCGATGTGGAACTTGATCCCAGGACCCTGGGACCATGACCTGAGCTGAAGGCAGATCAGACTGAGGCACCCAGGCGCAAGAGCAGGTGTTTTTAAAGGGTGAAAATTCACAGTAAGGGTCCTGGGGTCATTCAGTTAGGGATTAGGTCAGCTTTTAATATTTCTTTCCTTAATGGTTTTGTCACTCTTGGCGTCACCCTGTCTGTCTTTGGTGTGATGGTGGTGAGGCAGTCCTTCAGGTTCAAGGGCCTGGGATTGCACAACCTTGGTGCCAGATTGCATCAGTCACCTTTTGAGTACAAAGGCAGAAGGTCTACATCCTGTGACTATTCCTAAGCTGCAAACAATGACTATTTTTTGCACACGCAGGGCCTTATGGTTGTCACCTCAGGCAGAATAGCATCCCACACACTTTCTCAGAAGCAACTTCATGTTATTTCCTGAGGCCACTTTAAAGGTTTCTTTAGGGGCGCCTGGGTGGCTCAGTCATTAAGCGTTTGCCTTCAGCTCCAGTCATGATCCTGGGGTCCTGGGATCGAGCCCCGCGTCAGGCTCCCTGCTCAGCGGGAGGCCTGCTTCTCCCTCTCCCACTCCCCCTGCTTGTGTTCACTCTCTCGCTGTCAGATAAATAAATAAAATCTTAAAAAAAAATTAAAAAAAAGGTTTCTTTAAATGGTAACTAAGGAAAATTAAATAAGTAAAAAATAAACGGTAACTAAGGGCTACTTAACTCTGATCAGAGGCAGCTAGGAGCCATATATCTAATTGTGGGGCCTGCTGGGGGCTTGTATTCCTGGTTTCAATTGGCAGAAATTTTTATACTTTGTTTTTAAAGATTTTATTTTGGGGGGCACCTGGCTGGCTCAGTCAGTGGAGGGCATGACTCTTGATGTTGGGGTTGTGAGTTCGAGCCCTGCGTTGGTTGTACAGATTACTTAAAAAATAAAATCTTTTATTTATTTATTTATTTATTTATTTATTTATTTATTTATTTATTTAGGCTTTTATTGTTAAGTAATCTCTACACCCAATTCGGATATATCTATATATTTATATCTATATCTACACCACGTCTTCTTTATCCATTCAACAGTCAATGGACACTTGGGCTCTTTCCATAGTTTGGCTATTGTTGATAATGCTGCTATAAACATTGGGGTGTATGTACCCCTTTGAATGTGTATTTTTGTATCCTCTGGGTCAATACCTAGTAGTGCAATTGCTGGATCGTAGGGTAGCTCTATTTTTTAACTTTCTGAGGAGGCTCCATACTGTTTTCCAGAGTGGCTGCACCAGTTTGCATTCCCACCAACAGTGCAAGAGGGTTTCCCTTACTACTCATTCTTGTCAACATCTGTTCTTTCCCATGTTGTTATTTTTAGCCATTCTGACCAGTGTGAGGTGGTATCTCTTTGTGGTTTTGATTTGCATTTCCCTGATGATGAGTGATGTTGAGCACTTTTTCATGTATTTGTTGGCCATTTGTATGTCTTTGGAGAAATGTCTGTTCAAGTCTTCTGCCCATTTTTCTTGATTGGATTATTTGTTCTTTGGGTGTTGAGTTTAATAAGTTCTTTTTTTTTTTTTTAAGATTTTATTTATTTATTTGACAGAGAGAGACACAGCGAGAGAGGGAACGCAAGCAGGGGGGCAGGGAGAGGGAGAAGCAGGCTCCCTGCTGAGCAGGGCTCCATTCCAGGACCCTGGGATCATGACCTGAAGGCACACGCTTAATGACTGAGCCACCCAGGCGCCCTCTATTGAAAGTTTTTCACATGTAGGTATTTAATCCACTTGGATTAATTTTTATGTATGACATGAGATAAGGGTCCAATCTGAATTGCCTGTGGGTAGACTGTTCCGGCATCATTATTTAATAGTCCATTCTCTCCCCACTACTCGATCATATATCAAGTTTAGACTCCACTGTTCTGTTGGTACGTCTGTCTGGTGTTAAATTAATTCCCTATAGTCTTCAATGATGTCGCTTTATAGAAAATCTTGGTACCTTTGTCAATGAGTCTTACCACTTCAAAAGTGTCTTGGCTACTCTGGACTCTGTTTCTTTCTGTAAATTTTAGAATTGGCTGGTCAAGTTTGAAGAAAATCCTACTGGGTGTGCCTAGCTGGCTCAATCAGTAGAGCATGAGACTCTTGATCTCAGGGTCCTGAGTGTAAGCCCCATATTGGGCATGGAGCCTCCTTTAAAAATCCTGTTGGAGTTTTGACTGGGATTACATTTGAGTTACAGATCAACTTGGGAGAGAAATGACATCTTTAAGGTATTAGCGTCTTATCATAAACATGGTATATTTCTGAGGTCAACTTTAACGGTTTTCAAAACGGTATTATGACTTTCTCCATAAAAGTAATGCATATCTTAGCTCAGATTCAGTCCTTTTAATGTTTGTGGGCCCTATGCCTGGGGTCTCAGGGAAGTTACACTTTAACTTTTACCAAGGTCAGAATGACTTGACCAAACTTCAAAGCATGGGCTCTATTTCTGTCCTGGGCACACATTGTATATCTGCTTTGTTGACAATCCATAAAAACCCATTTTGGGGGCGCCTGGGTGGCTCAGTCAGTTGAGCATCTGACCCTTGATTTCAGCTCAGGTCATGATCTCGGGGGTTCTTGGGATCTAGTCCTGCATCGGGCTCCTCTGCACCCAGCGGGGAGTTTGCTTCTCTCCCTCTCTTTCTCTGTCTCTCTCTGCCCACCCCTACCCCCACTTGCATCATCTCTCTCTAAAATAAATAAATACAGGGACGCCTGGGTGGCTCAGTCGTTAAGCGTCTGCCTTCAGCTCGGGTCATGATTCCAGGGTCCTGGGATCGAGTCCCACATCGGGCTCCTTGCTCAGTGAGGAGCCTGCTTCTCCCTCTCCCTCTGCTGCTCCCCATGCTTGTGCTCTCTCTCTCTGACAAATAAATAAATACAAATCTTTAAAATAAATAAATAAGGGGCGCCTGGGTGGCTCAGTCGTTAAGTGTCTGCCTTCGGCTCAGGTCATGATCCCAGGGTCCTGGGATCGAGCCCCACATCGGGCTCCCTGCTCCGCGGGAAGCCTGCTTCTCCCTCTC